TCTTATACACATCTAGATGTGTATAAGAGACAGGGCATAGCGCGGCCCGACCGACCCAAAAAAAAAAAAAAAAAAAAAAAAAAAAAAAAACCTCCTTAATGAAACCTCCGCCCTGACACCACCGCCGGCCTGAGTTACGAATGCCTTTTCGAACTCAGGCCCGCCTTTAGGAACTCAAAACATGCCGCGTCCGCCGTTGTTTCAAAAGAAAAACAAAAAACAAGGATTCTAACCATACCTACAGCACGCATGTGTGCACGGGCACGGTGATGCATCACATCCCGAACATAGGCGTCAGGGAAGAGCTCTCAGAGGGGCGGGGTATGTGGCCGGACACACCCTCCCTGCTAAAAAATCAAGTGACAAAAAAAAAAAAAAAAAAACAGTGCCGTGCATGACAGCAGCCTGCGCACAGAAAAATTGTACCGTGTATTTGCAGCCCCCCAGAATTCCAAATGTTTCCAAGCTATCTTTGAGGTCCGATACAGCCATAATGAGGGTCCGTTGTGCTTGTCAGACGTCTGACACCCTCATCATGGCTGTATTGAATCTGAGAAGTTGTGAAAACCATAAGAAACTTAAAAAAAGAGAAAAAAGAAAGCCGCGCAGTGGAGCGAGGTCCAGACTAATCTTTGAATTGGCGGGGAAAGTAAAAGCATCGTTCTGTCGCCAGAACGTCACCGCTTGCGTGTAGGGAAGAGTTTCTCACGAAGCCTAAAGCGAGCACGAGAGCTGCATATATACATAAAAATAATAATAATAATAATGAAAAATTGCACGCTGCACATGCATCAGCCTGAGGGGCAGTCGCAAGCACCTGTGCCCTCGGTGCGTGAGTGCGCGCGTGCAATTAGCCAAGTGTGTATCGCGCATTTTGCGCATTGCACCGTGCAGGTATGATATGATTCTACACTCTGTGAGATGCAGTCTGTTACATCACAGGATGTTGTGACTGTGTGGACGTTTTGTGCTTTTGGTCCAAATGAGTCATGGGACTTTTTCCTGTTATTCAGGGTACCTTTTGTACTGGACTTGCCTTTGTAGTTCATCATCACCTAGGCTATAATTCATTAATTAGGTTATCCTGTTAATTAGGTTATCCTCTCAGAGTCTGCCATTGCCTGTCAGTGACTACTAGTTTATGGAGTGTTGTTTCCCGTCAAGGGACTGAAGCCTTTTTTTTTTTTTTTTTTTTTTTTTCCTCCTGTGTAAACACCTAGGCTACCAGCCGGGCCGCCCGGGTCACCCTATTTTCCTGGACGGTCCGGCCATGCAAAGACCAGCGACGGTCCTAGCAAAAAAAAAAAAAAAAAAAAATCCGAAAAAAAACTATGTTATGCAGAAAAAAAAACTGAACAACTTTTGCCTCACGGTCACATCGAAATTCTTTACCATATATCTGTGATGATATATATATATCGTCACAAAC